TGCCACGTCTCGCGGTATCACCTCACAGTAACATTAGGAATTGATGTCCAAGGGTACCTCACAGCCTGCACGGCTGCCAGGACCTGAGGACTGCATGGGCAGTCACCAGCAGCCACCACAGATGTACTGTGGAGTGAATTGTCTACAATCATACAGACTGGAGTGAGTTAATAAACTGCACACTGTGGTAACAGTTTACTAAAATTCTTATGCAGAACAGACGTATGTGTATATTGTTCTGTACAAATGGAAAGCTCCTCCCAAATGCTGGGAATGTATTCTGGGTGGATTTTTAATACAGTAAAAACCTAGTCCTCTTCTACTTTACTGAAGTTATTTCCTCGGTTTCAATGAAAATAGGACATGCTTATAAAGATTAGAATTATTCTTTGAACTCTATGAAGGAAGAAATGTGCTTCGATGTACTTACAGCTTACACAAACCTCAGTTGAACATATATTACTAGTAGCACTGAAGTCATATCTTGTATATACATTTTTACTCTCAGGAAGTTTCATAAACATGTTTATTTCTGACCAAATTAAGCTTATTGCTGTGTCTTAGTTGTAAAAACTAATAGTAAGATCATGTTTTAAAAATTAGCTTCCATCTGAATGCTAATAAATCATGGGTGCACATCCCTTGCATTTTCTATAAACTTTCTTCCTCAAAATTTGATGTCTGCATTACATCTAATGAGCAGGTCACCATTTTAGATACAAATGTAAAAGAGATGAGCTTGGAGTCCTGCTTTAGGGGCAGGACAGTAAGGGAAGGACACGTTTGTTTTCTTGCAGACTTCACTATAGTCTAATGTTTCATTTTCTGTGCACGTGCCATTGAGATTTATTTGAAACTGCCTCTTGCTGTTTCATTTTTCTTGCATGAAGGGATTTTTTAATATTTTTAATACAGTTGGGTTGGGGATTAGTGTTACAGAGCTGCACTGCAATGACAAGAAACTAAAATTAGAGACACGTATAAATAAAAGTACACAAGCTGAAAAACAGTGCATGAGGTAGGAGGAGATAAACTGCTGTCTCTGCAGACACTCTTGCTCCACTGCCTGTTGCACAGAGACTGAAGCAGGTTAGTTAGACTTCCACACAGTGGAATCTGAGCTTTTGGGTACAGATACACCTAGAAAGTAAACACGAAAAAATCCACACAAAACAAACAGTTCATCCAGTTTATGATCACTTCATCTGGTTCAATGTCCTGTATAGTACTGGCAATACAAGTATATTCAAACACACACATATATATTTAATTAAAGCCATTGTCTTGTTGGTTTGTTGAAGGATAGCCCGTGTTTTTACTAAAACATAGCTTCCAGAATGGCATCTAGCCTCAGTCAGAAGACACTGAGAGACAGGGTACTGATTATTGCCACTGGGAATTTGTTTCAGTGGCTTTCTGGTTTCGTCTGTTAGAAATTTGCTCCTGTTGCATCTCTCTTTGCTGAAGAGCTAGGAGCTAGCTGCTCAGCGCCCAACATTTTCTTCTTGAGAGGTACTGTCACTCTTCTTTCCCAGCTTGCAGCTGAAGTTAAGAATCAATGATGGAGTCCCGTACCTTGAACGAAACTTTATTAAAAAACAAAACAAACACAAGTCCAAACACAAGTTTTTTCTGAACTCAGAAGAATCAACTGATGACCAAACCTTATTTTCAGCCTCTGTCCCTTGGGAAACCTATTTAAATATGTGGTTTAGCATCTGCTCAAGCCTTACCATCTGGCTGCAGGGCGTGGGGGCAGATTGTTATTTTTGGGGGATGCGTGGTGTGGACCGACTACTGAGCTCATGCCTACATAAAGGAGTTTAGCGGCTTATTTATATCTGCTCTGAACAAAACTTCAGCAAGTTTGCCTTGGGGATGAAGCTAACACCCAGCTGATTAAAGGAGACTGAAAGGAGCTGCGCAACATGTTGGGCGTGCTGTGGCATCCTGCTCTCCCAATCGGAGCTAACCTCAGAGCAGGGTCTTTGGGAGGAACCTCCCCTACACTGCCCACCAAATCTCTCCTTTATTTATGGGTTCTCAATCCACTGAATGCAACGGGTGCTCAGGGCTACAGACTACTACGCTATTTTTAATTGAAAAAGGCTCTCCATTCTGAATGTATTCCCAGCCAAACTACTAACTCTTAAATCATTTAATCAACCTTGTTGATTAAAGTCGATTATCATGAGTTAATAACCTCATATCTGAATCCTGTTAGCGCTTTTTATGATTAAAATGGTTATTTGCAAAACTTGTATATTGGCACAGTATCTCTGTGTACACCATTTCCTTCTTCCTATTGTTTTTTGGAGAAGTACCTGCAGGACAGATGTGGTCAAGTACCCAAACTTGACAAGGCTCAAATGTTTGGCTTCTGGCTTCTTATTTATTGTAAATTGAATTGTACCCTAGAAAGGCATATAGGCCTATCAGCGCTCTGCAGTCAGTTCCAAGGGAGAATGCTACTTCATTAAAACTAACAAATATTTTCCACGTTAGAATTCCAACTTTCTGGGGAAAATATTCAACTGCTAAACCCGCAACAGTGTATGAGATTATGTTTATCTTCAGGAATAATTGTAACTGACTTGTGTCCGAGGTTTGAGGCCTGCACAATATCACATCTGCCTTTTTAAGAGAGAGTGTCAGTGTCGGGATGCTGCAGCTCACCAGGTCCTCACACTTTGATGGCAGTTGTCATCTGCTATGTTGCTCCACTCACACTGCTGGTATCTGTGATTTCTTTGCTATTTGCTTCTTCCTGTTTCATCTCCCTCTTTCACAATGTTACACACAGCAAATGGCATTAACAAATTGTTTGCGCTGGTGAAAAATATGTTTTTAACCTCATGGATGTTTCTTCTTGGAGCTGTCATCCCAAATCTGGGAAAAAAAATCTCTAATTCCAAAGTGATGCTAGAGAGGTAGCATCCAGTCTACATGAAACATTCATCCTGACCGAGTTCCTTATTTATTGATCTCTGTGCACCATTTTTGCATTTAATCCTGCTGTGAGATTAGTTATTGCTATTACTTCTGGGCCAGTGGAGTTGCAAATGCAAACGTTCTTGCAAAGACAAATATTCCCTGGTATGTACTGTCTTCAGTTTCAGAATACTCAGACTCTGGACAATCCCTTCTGTAACCACAGCATCTCTGGGGCTGTTGCTAACTCTGCAGCTACATCACTGCGCTTCTTCTCTTTGCAGTGTTTTGCATCTGTATTTGACGAAGAGCATTTTATAAAAGAAGCACATTGTGAGCCCTCTGTCCTCTCAATTTCTTATTTTTCATTTTACAGAAGCTGCATTCTGTTTCAGAAGTTGCTGATCAGCTTAGCGTCTGTGTTCTCTCTGGTTAGAGGCATTATTGCCTTGCTCCTTTGATACAAAGAGCCCTGAGATTTGATCTTGCTATCTGCGCTGTGACACAAAAGCATGGAAATGATTATGTTGTAGCATTTTGTATGATATTGAGACTACAGTATTTCACCTTCACTTACATTTTGGGCAGCATCCCTTCACTTACAATACTGCAGATGTAGGCAGTTTGAAGAAGAATATTATATGACATTGTGTCCTGAAAAGATGTTGCACTGCCACAGGGTTCTGCAGGGCCTGTCTGTTTCCTAGGCTTTCCTGGAAAGACAGCCATTCATCGCTGCTACACCAGTTAGATTTATAAATGGGACACTAATTTTCACACTTGCAGCAAATAATAACAATAAAAAAATCATGTTGTATAAATCACAGGAGTTGTTAGCATTAAAGCCGAAACAGTAGTAAGCAATCCAGCTTTTAGACCAGAAGCGATCACAGAAAAGCCACTCATTTGGGAGCGTTACATAGGTGACAAGACCTCCTAGGTACAGCTGGCTCAGTGCACAGTGCTGCTGTGATGGCACCATTTGGCCTTCGGTCATTCTCTGAGGCTGAGGCGGCTCTGGAAATGCAGCTGGTGCTGGGAACCACACCTCCGTGCTTGGGGAACACGGCAAGGACCTTGGCCTAGCGGGGGGGGGCAACAGCAGCCACGTTTTAACGTGCCATTTCCCAAAGCTGTTTCTTTAACCAGTACAGAGACGGCGTCCTTTTCCACTTTTCTAGCATCCATCACTTCGTACTGTTTGATCTGCATTTCTGCTTTTCAATTTCACGGGTTTTCTTTCACGGTACGGCTTCTTTTGGGAATTACTCCAGAGCGGGCTGCCGGGGAAACTTTTTTTCCTCGACGGCGTCAAACCCCCCTCCGGACAACGCCGAGCCCGGCCCCGAAGGAGGCGATGGCGGCGCTCCCCGACTCCGCTACTACAGCTCCCGTGTGGCCGTGCGGCGCGGGGCGGGGCGCGGGCGGCGGAAGGGCGCCGCTGGCGGGCGGGCGGCGGCGGGGGCCGCTCTATCCGGGCCTTTGGCGCTTCCCTTCCTTTCGCGCCGGCGGCCGCTGCGAGGCGGCGGGTCCATGTGCGCACGGCGCGGCGCGGCCCCGGCCCCTGCCCCCCGCCTCCTGCCGCCGCCGGCATGGACCCCAACACCATCATTGAGGCCCTGCGGGGCACCATGGATCCGGCGCTGCGGGAAGCCGCCGAGCGGCAGCTTAACGAGGTGAGGGAAGCCGCGGGGCCCGGGCCGGGCGGCCGCAGCGCCGGAAGGGGCACGGCGCGGGCGGCGGGGTCGGGGCGGGCCGCGAGGCAGGGCTCGGCCCGGAGCGGAGCGGCGGGCGGGGGAGAGTGGGGCCGGGCCGCCCGCTCCCTCGGCCCTGCCCGTCTTCCCCGCGCGGGCTGCGGGGACCCGCCTGTTGTCGCGGGCCGGGCCGCGGCGTCCCCGCACGTGGCGGCGGAGCTCGGGCCGGGCGGGGCTCCGAGCCGGGTACGGGCGGCGGCGGGCCGTCTCGTTTCCTTTGTGCCTCTGCTCGGCCAGGGGTCGTAGCGGGGCGCGGACCCGGGGCCTCGGGCCGCCGGAGGGACCCGCGGGGGCAGTGCAAGGAGGTTCGCCGCCTTTGGGAGCGGGCTGCGAGAGTCCCGTCGCTCCGCGTTGAACTCGGCCGGTGGGCGAGGGGCCGCGCGTTCCCCGAAATCCTTCGGGCTCCGGCACGGCAGCGTGGCCGAGCTGGGCGTGCTGAGCGGGTGTAGCGGCAGCACGTGCCCGGGAGACGGGAGAGAGGCGGCGGGGCTCCGGCCCGGCCCTGTCATCTGCTCGCACCGCGTGCCTCCGTGCTGCGGCCTAACAGCTGGCGGGCCCCGGTTCCACGGGCCTGGGAGACAGCTGCCTTCTTGTTTCGCTTCACCTGGGAGCTGGAAACTCCTTCTTGACGAAACCCAAGCCGTGCGGCTTCCGGACATCTTGAAGAAAAGGTGCTCCGGTGGTTGGCGTGGAGGGAAGGGGCTGAAGGAGGAGGAGGTGAGGGGTGAGCTTGCGTGGCAGCTCCCGCGGTGCTCCGAGCCGGGCCTTCCCACACACGTTTTCCTTTGTCGCCCTGGAGCAGACCTCAGGCCTACCGCAGTACGTCCAGCATGGCCGTGTTCACTCAGCTTCTGCTGGCAGCAGGGAACTTCCAAAAACTGGAAGTACGACTTGTCATACTGTGAGAGTGTGTAGCTGCACCGAGTGCCTGGAAGTCGCTCAATAAGCACGTGCTGGACGCGACTGCAATCCGTAGCTGGAACACTACACAGCGATTGGATTTGTGCAAAGTAGTTGGCTATCCTCCGTATCTCTCTGTAAAAAGTATTCTCAGTGGTTTCTTTGTAAACTAAAAGTAAAAATAATGCAATGGCTTATAAATACAACATGAAATCTTAATCTGACTCCAAAATGTGAGTTTTTTATTCTGTGTGTGTCAATATCTATATATAGTAACTTATTTCGAATCTATTCCAGCTATTTTCTGCAGGTACTGAGTTGGCGAACGTGCAGGAAATTGTGTTCTCTGCCAGTTGGGTTCTTCAGCAAATGGCTAACTGTTACGTGAGGGGCTGTGCTCACCATCAGCTGCCTTCTGATCATGTTTCTCAATCAAAACATGGTCTGTCATGCGCTACATCTGCATTAAACTGGAATAAAACCCAAATGTGCCCTTTCAGAAGCACCAGATGTCATTGAACCCTAGACTAAGAATTCCTTATTTGAAATGCAGCCTCACTGATCTTTCACAGACCATTTGTGATAAAAAATTAAAAAACAGCCCAAGCTACTACACCCTAAATCTGCAAGCGTTGATGCACATGTGTAGTTTTATTCACTTTCATGATCTTGTTTTTACATAGAGTTACTGAAATCAGTTATGCATTTGCTTGCAGGATACTACTCTGAATTTAACTGCTAGAGCACTTATGTTATCAGTTAATATTTGATTACAATTATGTCTTCGCTTTTCTGCTGAGATGAAATCCTGCAACAGTGAATAATCTTGCAGGTGGCTAGGGACAGAAGAACACCTTTATAATTTGTCTATTAATTGTCCTTGGTTGATCTTTTATTGTATCCTTATTTTGCCTGTAGTGTCTCTGTTGAGCTGAGGGGACTTTTGAGTAGAATAATCTTCTACCTTACCAGGAAAGAAGGAGCCTCAGCCAGTAACTGATATTTCTAATTAATGACAAGTTAAATATCTAGATCTGTCCATCGAACCCTTACCAAGCAAGAATTTCCACTGACTTGAGAAAGGGGCTGTGTTGTGTGAGTGTTGTTTTGTACAGACCTTCTTATTTTTCCTTTGACCTTGGCTAAGTCACACATTCTTCTATTCTCTTTCACTACATTTTGACAAGTTATGTGACCTGTGCTTAAAGCACTGCGAGGACTTTGAGTTGAGATATGCTAAATGCAGGCAGCTCAGGGCTGTCCATCTCTTTGGTTTTAATGGGACAGGTTAAAGAGAACGATACCGTTAGCCCTTGTGTCCAGTGTATTACTTCCAGCTTCTTATAATTTCCAGGTAATGATACACTGTGAGGTGTTTGCTTGTCTCTGCTGTCTTGCAGAGGAGACAGTTTTACAGGGCCTTAGAACCAGACTCTTCCAGTAAGTTACTGGAAAGCAGCAGGAGGACTTTATTGCCTTTCAAAGCAGTCTTCATATTGTGCGTATAAAGTGTTTCCCAGAAGTGATGATGAAAGTAGATATTTTTAACTATGCAGCTATGGAACGACCCCCTGAAAATTATACACAGTGCTGTTTCATTCTTTAATATCAACATACGTGTCAAGGTGCTGTTGTTAGGTAATACCTGCCTTGCAGGTCTCTCCTCTGCAGCTAAGAGAATTGATCATATAACCATATTTGAGATTAACCCTGGTGTGGACAAGCTATTTTTCAGAAGAGCTATCCAGCTTCTCAGAGAATTTTTTTAAATTATTTTTTAAAGAAAAGATAAACCAGAACCCCAATCACTCATAATGTTTTGTATGCCAAAGCTTAACAGGGTTTAAGTGAGTTTTTACCCTGTTGCTCCATTGAGAGGTGCCTTGCAGAAGTTGTGTTTACTCTCTTTCATGTTCTGATACAAGTGATAGTGGAAAAAAAAAAATAATTGCTTGAGCTTGTGAACATGTCATCATAGAGTGCAATCTCTTTTACAAAGTGACCTCGTGTAGTGCCTTTCATTGCTCAGGAGATCCAAATGCCAGAGTAATGCACTGATGAACCAAAATGATTGGACTCTAACTGTTGGGAACTTTGCAGTGAAGAGCTGTCCAAGGGAAAAAAGCAAGTTCCTTTTTACATACCTTTCACTCAGGGATTTCAAAATACTGGCATGCTGTGTATTTGAATGCTTTAGGATAGGTATTTGTAATGTTACTTTTTATTTTTTACCTAGGAGGTGTAACATGATCTTCATGTATGACACTTGCAGCTATATACCGTAGTGTATCTAAGACCAAGAGCAGCATGAGTTTCCTGGCTTTGTCTGATTACTATATCATGAGTGTTTGTTGGAACTTCTTAGCATGGTATTCTCATGAAAGTGCATGATTATTCTTTCCTATTTCCACCCCCTGGTTTTCCATTTGTATGTTGTGCTGTGTGTTAGACGAGAGATCTTTTGTGAGAGGATGGATTTAAGTTGTGTATGCAGAGGCTGATCCAGCACCAGAAATCCCCTTGGGGCCAGTGAGGAATCGAGGGAGCGTTGCTGTCACTAGGAAGCAGTTGGATGCTTGAATCATGCTAACTAATGCAAGGCAGAATCCTAGCAGACAAGGGTGCTTTGCCCCTTTCTTATGGCTTAGCAAATGGTTACTGTGTGTGCTTAGCTAACTTTTACAAAGAGCATGTTTCCTTTTTCCTCTTAATAGAAAAGTAAATAGATTTCAGAACTTGCAGACAGCACTCTGAAGTGAGCATCAAATACGTTTGCCAGATTTGATATGCATGTATGTGTTTTTGGTGGACCTTAAGCTTCATTTACATATGCATTGCGGCTGCAAAGAGGTGGTAAAACCAGCTTGCAAAAACTTGAGGTCAGAATGACTTCCACACCTGCTGAGTTCTTAAAAAAGGATTGAAAGAGTGCTACGGAGGAGTCTGCTGATTCAGCGTGGCCTTACAGTTCCTGACCTTACCTTTCTATAAAAAAGCCAAGCTGTTTCATCTCAGTGTAATAGCTGTGTGTTCACCCAATGCTGTTACAGTCTAGATAAAAGAACTGCACTCTTCAGAATTGGAATTGAGGAAATGTATTTAAATTGTGGTTTTTAGCTCTTTAAAAAATAAGTTATAGCTTTTATTTAAATGTGTGCTAATTTGAATAATTGTATTAATACAACTGAAGGTTCTAGTTTAGCAACATGTAGTATATATTTTATTACTATTCTGATCTGCTTTTTTGCTAACAGCTAAGGAGGTGCTTCACAGAAGGACAGAACTGTAGGGGTTGGAAGGGACCACTGGAGATCATCATCAAGTGCAACTCCTGCTGAAGCAGGTTTCCTACAGCAGGTCGCACAGGAAGGCATCCAGGCAGGTTTTGAATTTCTCCATAGAAAAATACTTCCCACCTCTCTGGGCAGCCTGTTCCAGTGCTCTGCAACCTGTATAGTAAAGAAGATTTCCCTTGTGTTCTGATGGAACTTCCTATGTGCCAGTTTGTGCCCATTGCCCTTTGTTCTGTTGCTAGGCACCACTGAAGGGAGCCAGGTCCCACCCTCTTTATTCCTGTGCTGCAGATGCTTATAAGCATTGGTAAGATCCTCTTTCAGTCTTCTCCCCTCCAGGCTGAACAGCCCCGGGTCTCTCAGCCTTTCCTCATACAGAAGATGCTCCAGGCCCCCCATCATCTTTGTGGCCCTGCGCTGGACTCTCTAGGAGATCCCTGTCTTTCTTGAACTGGGGAGCCCAGAATGGGACACAGCACTCCAGCTGTGGCCTCACCAGGACAGAGTAGAGAGGGAGGATCACCCTTCACCTGCTGACCATGCTCTTTTTTGTGCTCCCTGGGACACCACTGTCCTTCTTGGCCACAAGGGCACGATGCTGACTCGTGGCCACCTGCTGTCCACCAGGACACCCGGTCCTTCTCTGCAGAGCTCCTCTCCAGCCCCTAACTTGTGCTGATGCATATGGTTATTGCTTTCCAGGTGTAGGACTCTGACTCTGCAGATGCACTTGATATCTAAGAAGAATGTGTGGAGACAATTTCACCTGTGATTAAGCTCGTTTTTAATTGGTTAATATCATGCATGCTTTGTGTAAAATACAAATAATAGTGCTATTAGTGAAGAATGTCTTCAGTGGGTATCATTGGTGGAAACAAGTGCCTTTGTGTATCATAATGAACTGTTGGTAGTTCTGCATGCCATCATCTGGTTTCTTTGTACTTGATATATGTTTCAGATTGAGGCTGGCACGACACCTCATAAGAAAATTGTTTTAGCACATGGCTTGCAATCTATCTTGGCTAAGAAAAGCCTGCGGAAAAAGATGAACAAAGATTGTATGTTCTGGAATGCTGATATTAACAGACAGTGGTGCAACGTTTGTGGTCTGATAGAATGCATTCCTCAGCCAGTGAGGCTGCATAGCAGAGATTGCTCTTGGGAAAAGTCCCCGGATTCTTTGGCTCTTAGACAACAGAAAGTCATACCAGTGACACGGCATGTTGGAAGATTAGTAACGGGGAAGGACTTGAGATGATTTTTTTTTTTGAGTGCTGACGTGCGTGTTGGGAAACAGACTTATGACACAAGCTTCTTTCTGCAATTATTGTAGTTCTCTTAATTTCATATTTATACAAGTAAAGTGTGCTTGTAAGCAAGGAGCGTGAGAATGGTTTTGGAAATGGGAAGGGAGAAGGTTTGAACTGTCACAACTTCAGTCAGAAGTTGTCTTTGTTCTCCACACAGTTGGAGTATACGAGAGAAGCCATTGTGAAATGGTGGTTTTAGTTGTGTTCTGCAGGTCTCTGCAGACCAACACTAATTGTCAGTGCTGGTTGTTGGTTTTTTGGTTGGTTTTTTAGCAGTGGTGTCAGTGAAGGTAAACACGGCGTCCTGAAGGCCAGCCATGTCTGCAGTACAAAAATACTGAAGATTAAAATAGCTGAAACGCATGTCTGTTCAGTATTCTTAGTGCCATAGACAGAGAATCGGCACCTCTGCGATCTTCTGAAAAAAGAATCTGAAAGAACATCTGAAAGAAGATGTTCTTCTTATAGTAAAGCAAAACGAGGGAGCAAGTGAGGAGTTGTGTGGTACCTGGGCTCTCATATGCCCACTCAATGTGCACGTCCCTTCATGTAGCTGTTCTCTCCATGTTTCAGCCTCTCTAGAAGCTGTTGGTTTGATGGGGTGGGAAAGCTTGGT